CTATGTGGCCGAACTTTGAGGCCAGACCTGCCAAGCTATCGGACCATGTGTTCCCCGAATCGGTTTGGAAAGCCTTCGGGGAGCACGTGGGCATCTTGAAGGTCATCTTGGCCGTCTGGAGGCCATTTTGACCCTTTCGGGCCTTCTTGGAGGACGTCTTGGAGGGCTCTTGGGCCGTCTTGGAGGCCATCTTGGGCGTCTTGGAGACCTCTTGGGCCGTCTTTGGGGCCTCTTGGGGCCGTGTCTTGGGCCTCTTGGGCGATCTTTGGGGGCACTTGGGCCGTCTCGGGCCGTCGGAAGGCAGAAAACAAACAAATGCCACAATCCTTCAAAAACCAATGGGAAACATGATTTTGGCCTTTTCGGGCCTTCCTGGAGGCCCTCTTGGAGGCCTCTTGGGCCGTCTTGGGCCACCTTAGGGCCATGTTCGGCCGACTTCGTGGGCTCCTGGTCCGTCTGACGCCGTCGGAAGCCGTTTGGGGGGCCCCTATGGGCCGACTTGGGGCCCTCTTTGGAATTCTCCAGGGCCGTCTTGGAGGCCCATCTTGGGAGTCTTAAAGGCGTCCTGTGCCGTCTTGGGGGCCGCCTGGGGCCGTCTTGGGGCCCTCTTGGGCCGTTCTGGGGCCATCTTGGAGGCCTCTTGGGCGATCTTTCGGCGATCTTCGGGGGCTCTTGGGCCGTCTCGGGCCGTCGGAAGGCAGAAAAGAAGCAAATGTCAAAATCCGTCAAACAACTTAGGACAATCAAGGTTTGGGGCCTCTTCTGGCCTTCCTGGAGGCCCTCTTGGGGGTCTCTTGGGCCGTCTTGGGCCAGCTTCGAGCCAACTTCGGCCATCTTGATGGGTTCCTGGCACGTCTGACGCCGTCGGGAGCCGTCTTGGGGGCCTTTCTGGGCCGACTTGGGGCCCTCTTGGGGCGCTTCGGGGTCGTCTTGGAGGCCATCTTGGGCGTCTTGGAGGCCATCTTGGGCGTGTTGGAGGCCTCTTGGGCCGTCTCGGAGCTCTCTTGGGGCCGTCTTGGAGGCCACTTGGGCCGTCATGGGGCCCTTTTGGGGGCCTCTTGGGCGATCTTTGAAGGCGCAAATGCCAACATCCTTCAAAAACCTAAGGAGAATCACAGACTTTGGCTCTTTCGGGCCTTCCTGGAGGACGTCTTGGAGGGCTCTTGGGCCGCCTTGGAGGCCTCTTGCTGGCCTGTTGGGCTATCGGAGGCCGTCTTGGGTACGTCTTGGGCCGTCTTGGAGGCATCTTGGGGCCATTTTAGCCGTCTTGGAGGCCATCTTGGGCCGTCTTGGAGACGTCTTGGAGACCATCCTGGGCCATCTTGGCCGTCTTGGACGCCATCTTGGGCCAACTGGAGGAAACAGAGGCACGGCGGACGCGTTCTGGGGATTTTCCGGTGGCCGGCGGGACGGGCCGAAGCCCCAGGGGGAGTGCTTTTGGAAAAATAACCAAAACCAAAACCGAGAGGGTCCAGCACGCCAGGCACCCCTGCGATGAATCGACAGGGGGCGGCGGATCGAAGACGCCTACGGCGAACCACCGTCGCCCTCTGCCTTTTTGGAAGCGCCTATGTGGCCGAACGTTGAGGCCAGACCTGCCAAGCCATCGGACCATGTGTTCCCCGAATCGGTTTGGAAAGCCTTCGGGGAACACGTGGGCATCTTGAAGGTCATCTTGGCCGTCTTGGAGGCCTCTTGGGCGATCTTTCGGCGATCTTCGGGAGCTCTTGGGCCGTCTCGGGCCGCCTCGGGGCCGTCTTGGAGGCCATCTTGGGCGTCTTGGAGGCCTCTTGGGTCGTGTTTGGGCCCTCTTGCGGCCGTCTTGGGGCTGTCTTTGGCCGTCTTGGGGCGCTCCTGGAGGCCTCTTGGGCCGTCTTGGGGCGCTCTTGGAGGCCTCCTGGGCTGTCTTGGAGCGTCGGGAAGCCGAAAAGATAAAAAACCAAAATCCTTCCAAAAACCACTGTAAAGTGGACGATTTTGGCCTGGTTGGACTTGGAGGCCATCTTGGACCATCTTGGAGGCCATCTTGGGCTAACGTGACCATCCTGGAGGCCATGTTGGGCCGTCTTGGAGGAAGAATTGGGATTGGACGATGGCGTGTGCGTCTTGCGGGTCTTGGGGGGCGGCCGGCGGGACGGGCCGAAACCCATTGGGAGAGTTCTTTTGGAAAAAGAGCCAAAACCAAAACCGAACAAATCCAGCACGCCAGGCACCCCTGCGATGAATCGACAGGGGGCGGCGGATCCAGTGGCTTTCGGCCCATCCCGCCACCGTGCCTGGGCCGTGGGCATGAAGCCTATCGGATGTTCGTCGGGATCTCGTGGGAGGCTTCTCGGGGGTGTCTTGGAGGGTAGTTCGGGCGCCTCTTGGTGGCCGTTAGGGGGGCCTCTCTTGGGGCCTCTTTTGGACCTCTCGGGGGCCTCTTGGGGGCGCGTGGGCCTCTTGGGGCCTCTTGGGGCCTCTTGGGGCCTCTTGGGGGCCTCTTTTGGGCCTCTTTGGGGCCTCTTTTGGGCCTCTTGGGGCCTCTTTTGGGCCTCTTGGGGGCCTCTTTTGGGCCTCTTGGGGGCCTCTTGGAGGCGCAGGATGGCGTGGCCTTCCTGGAGCGCGCGTGGCGCTCCCAGACAAGGGAGGGGTGAGGAGCCAGCGCCGCCGCGCGAAGCGCCGACAGGAAGGGGGCGATGTCGATGCTCAGCAGGAGGAGGAGGAGGAGGAGGAGGAGGAGGAGGAGGAGGAGGAGGAGGAGGAGGAGGAGGAGGAGGAGGAGGGGGAGGAGGAGGAGGAGGGAAGGAGGGAGGGAGCTGGGCAGGGATCGTGAGCGGGACCCTGAGATCTGACGTTGCGAACAACACGCAACATTGCGAAACATCGCGACCAGAGCCCTGGACCCCCTCTTTCCGCGGCATTCTCCGAGCCGGATCGATCCGTGATGGCCCCGGGCCCCGAAAACGGGCAGCGCCCAGGTCGCAGGGGATGGCGAGGGCCGCGCGGGAGGGAGTGCGCAATCGCCCCTCCGCCGCCAAGAGGACACCGCCAGCGCGGACGATGCGGACCTCCTGCGCGCCCTGCGGAGGGCCAAGGTCAGGAGGGAGAACCACACAGACGCAATGCATCGTCGATTCCAATGACATTTTTTTGGGAAGTATGGGAAGTGGGGGGGAAGACGAACATCCAGAAAGTATTGAGAGATAGGGGGGATCCTGGGAGTTGTGCCTATCCATTCCTGTGCTCCTGGCCCCCCCTCGCAAGGGTAAGCCTCGGGACCCGTGGTTTGGCAACCTCCGGATCAACCCGGACGTCTTCGAGAAGGTGGGCTGAGAGCGGCGCCCAGGCTGCGTGCCGCGGGGCATCGGCCGGGCTCCCCGCGGGGGGCCGTTCTGTTGCATCTTCGGGGGACCTCGCCTGTCCCCAAAATTGATGTCTTTTTGGGGGCCCGACGCGGGCTCGATGCGGACTCGACGCGGATTTGGCACGGATTCGACGCGGATTCGACACGGATTCGACACGGATCCGACGCGTCCGACATGGATTCGACACGCATTCGACGCGGACAGGGCCGCGACGGGACAGACAAGGTCCCCCGAGGATGCAACATAAGGGCCGGGGTCCAGACATGCCCCCTCCCATGCGCTTTCAGTCGAGCGTGTCCCTCCAGAGGAGGAGGAAGATTTCCAAACCAGTAAATGACATGGTCTGGGGACGAGCTTTCTAGTGCTGTTTATCTTCTTATTTTTTTGACAGGTTTTGTTTTTTCCTGCAACTTCCGCCTGTAGGAGGACATGCCCGACCTGACCCAGTCGATCCTCACTCTGCGCAGGTCCATGAAATTCTCGGGGCGCTCTGGCAGTTTTTATTTCTGTTTTTTTTGGTCCCTCGAGGAGAGCGCTAAATCAGCCACCTGCTGGTCGGAAGGTTCGGAAGATGGAGAGTCAGAGACATCGTTGCGGGATATCTGACACTGAACCAATCCTCTGGGTCGAGGTCGCTGCGGCGATCGCGGCAGCCACCGTCAGTTTTTTGTTACAGAGTGGCATGCCCCTTCCCAGCCCCCCCCCCGCTTTGCGATGTAGACGTGGCTCATGATAGAACAATGTGGCGAGAGATTGTTGTCAACTTAGGTCCAACATGGTTTGTTTTGCCAGTGGTCGGTTATCACGCAAGCAGTACATGCTCGCGTCGTGAACGCCTCGAGATCTTCGCGCCGCATTTTCTCTGGGTCGGTCGTTTTCGCGTTTAATTTCGGGCTTCGGGGCCATCACATATCGATCCAGCGCGCAAGGATGGCGCAGAAAGATGGGGTCTAGGGAGCCAGTTGTAATTTCAAGGTATGCTAGTTTTCAGTGGCGGCGGCAGACCCTTGGGAACATCGCGGCGGGCGGTTTTGGTCCGTTTTCGGCCTCCAGGGGCCCTCGCCAGGCCTTGAGACCTTTGGAAACAGCCCAGGATGAAGAGCCAGTCCTGGGGAAAGGGTGGGGGCTTCCGGGGGTCGTGGGCGACAAGCATACCCATATCCGCGGCCTCGCGGGCCGGCGGGGCGTTTCCTCGCGGACGTCCCGCACGCGGGCCGCATCCGCGCGACCGCAGGTTCGCGGGATCCTGCCGCGGAGGCCCGACCGCGAGGGCGCGGATACGGATATGTTCGTCCCTTGTGAGGATGGAACAGACCGTTCGGTAGCAAATCATGGGAGCCTGGCATGCCCTCTTGATTCCGTCTTGAGCGTCGTTTGGCGTCGTTTGGCGTCCGGGAGTCGATGCAACATCGCCGATTTAGCATCGTTCAGCGTCGATCTCCCGTCGATCTAGCGTCGACTGGCGTCGATTCAGCGTCGATGGGCGTCGATCTGCAAGGGCCGACGAGATGGTATGGGGGAGGAGGAGGAGGAGGAGGAGGAGGAGGAGGGAGGAGGAGGAGGAGGAGGAGGAGGAGGAGGAGGAGGAGGAGGAGGAGGAGGAGGAGGAGGAGGAGGAGGAGGAGGGAGAGGAAGAGGAGGGGGAGGAGGAGGAGGCGTGCGGTGGCCTTCTCGGCGGGGGCTCCGCTCTCAAGGTGGCCCCCTCGGCGGGGGGGGCGCATTTCGTACTAGGAACTCCCGAGCATTTTCTTTGGGTGGAGGGCAAAGGGTGCAATCTGGCATGCTGTTTCGATGGGTTCTCGAGGCTTGGTTCTGCAACAGGTGAGTTACAAGACGGATTCATGTTCGAGGTGCAGAAGCCCATCTGGATTTCACCCTGAGCCCTCCACCCTAAGGAAATGTTCAGTGCTTGTTCTGGGGGACCTTCCTGGGGCCCACCTGACAGATCTGTTCGACCCCAGTTCGAGTCAAGTTCGACTCACGTTCGACTCAACTTTGACTCAAGTTCGACTCAGAGTGGAGCGAGCGTCTCCGGGAAGGTCCCCAGAATGAGCATCCAGTGAGGAGGGCGGCGGTGATATCGCTGGCCAAGCCTCAGTTTCACCTCCCACCAAACCACCCCAACCCAACCCGAAGGCCGTGATTTGCCCTCCATTTCCAGTGGGGGGGGGCTCGGGGAGCATGGAAACAAAAACACATGAAGCTCGTGTACCCCCCTGGACCCGAGATTCGGGTCTGATTCGTGCCCTCGGGTTGGGTTGGGGTGCTCTGGTAGGCAGTCTCAGTTGGGGTGCCCCTGCTGGAGGGCTCCAAAGGGGGATTTTGGGGGAGGGGGTTCTCCAGAGAGCCACCCCTGGGGCCTCGGAGCCTCGTTAGAGCAGGTGGTGCGAGGCCCCTGGGGGTCCCCTCCTGGAAAACCCCCTCCCCCCCAACCCCCTTTGTTTGGACGCCCGAAATGGGTACGGAAGAAATGGGTACAATGCCCAGCAACAAATGTTGTCCCAAACCATCAGCGGCCGCTGTTGGGCAGGCGGCCTTCTGTCTCGAATGGACACAGGCCGCGGCGGCGTGGACAGTGAGTCCTGTTCAAAATGAACAGGAATTGCTGTTTGGCATTGTGCCCATTCTTTCCGTACCCATTTCGGGCGTCCAGATTTTGGAGCCCTCCGCCCCTGGGGCTCCTCGTCCAGAGGCTCCTCCTCGGTGCCCTCACCGTGGTGGCTGCTCCCGCGGGCATCGGAACCTCGTCAAAACAGGGGGTGCGAGGCCCCTGGGGGACCCGTCCTGGAAGACCCCCATCCCCCCAGACCCCCCTTTTGGGAGCCCTCCGCCCCTGGGGCTCCTCGCCCAGAGGCTCCTCCTCGGTGCCCTCACCGTGGTAGCTGCTCCCGCGGGCGGTGATCGGTGCCCTCGTCAAAACAGGGGGTGCGAGGCCCCTGGGGAACCCCTCCTGGAAAACCCGCTCCCCCCAGACCCCCCTTTGGAGCCCTCCGCCCCTGGGGCTCCTCGCCCAGAGGCTCCTCCTCGGTGCCCTCGCCGTGGTGGCTTGCTCCCGCGGGCCGCTCCCCCTCGGAGAGGGGCGGGGGTCCGCCCGCGGAGGCCTCGGAGCCCCGCTGCGCTTCGGGGGCAGCGGCTAAGTCGGAGGTGGATAGACCTCCTACCTTACGATGCTCCAACTTACTTTAGCCTTGATCATCCGGAAGATGTTCGAGCGCCCAGGGTTTTCGTGTGCCCACTTCGGGCGTCCAGACTTTGGAGCCCTCCGCCCCCGGGCTCCTCGTCCAGAGGCTCCTCCTCGGTGCCCTCGCCGTGGTGGCCGCTCCCCCCCGGAGAGGGGCGGGGGCCGCCCGCGGAGGCCTCGGAGCCCCGCTGGTCTTCGCCAAGCAGTGGCGAAGCGTCCTGGCTCGCCTATAGCCCTACCAAACAATGTTCTAAGAACCTTTTTGTGGTTCCAGGACATGTTCTTAGAACATTTCTGGCGGAGTCTGTCTTATTTTATCACCTCGGGTCTATGCTATCAGAACATTGTCTTGGTTCTTAGAGCATTCTTTGGGTTCCAAGAACATTTCCTGGTAGGACTATAGGAATGCTCCCGCGGGCGGTGATCGGTGCCCTCGTCGTAGTAGCTGCTTCCGCGGGCCGCTCCCCCCCGGAGAGGGGCGGGGGCCGCCCGCGGATGCCTCGGAGCCCCGCTGCTCCTCGGGGGCAGCGTTTGAGTCGGAGGTGGGTAGACCTAAGTCGGGCGTGTCCCCGGAACTTAAGGGCCACATTCCAAACAGAACATTTCGAGCACCCCGGAAAGCATCGAAACAGTGTCGAGAGAGTGTCGCCTCCCAGGGCCCGACACGTGAAAACCCTTCAGTCTCGGTGCTGTTCTTAGTGCTTGAAGCTCTTTTGGGTGACCAAGGCTACAGTAGGCTTAAGTCGGGCCTGTCCCCCTACAGGGGGATTTTCGACGAACAATAAAACATACCCCCCAAAATAATTCAAAAATAATTAAACAATTATCAAAACATAGTCTGGGGACTATTTTTTGAGCATTTGTTGGCCTGTGTGGGGTATTTTGGGGTGTCTTTTATTTTTCTTGGAGAATCCCCCTCTAGGGGGACAGGCCCGATTTAAGGATAGACCTCCTGCCCTGACACGTCGATTCAGGAATTGGCCGTTTTCGGTTCGCGAGAGGGCGTCGCGGCCCTCGTTTTTGCGGGTCCGGGTCCGGCGGTTTCAGTCCCAGGCTGTGTTTTCACTAAGGGGAGGTTTGCTAAAGGGAGGTGCGTCCACCGCCGATTAAGGGGGGGGGGGCAGGCTCGGGGGGGGTGCATCGACCCCCTTGCGCCAAGTCGGGCATGTCCCCCTCCAGGAGGAGTCTTCGAGGACAGTCAGGGAAGGAGCTGGGGGGACGATCTCTCGACCATTCTTCGAGGATTGTTGGGCAGCTTTGGAGAACTTTTTCAGTTTTCTTCCGCAATCCGCCTGTAGGAGGTCATGCCCGTCTTAGCAATAGGGGCCGGATGGCCCACCCTGCCCAGGACGTGCGCTGTCGTCGGCCTGGCGCCGATCCACTGGCAATGCATCGCCGATGTTCCCGGTCGATGCTTTCCCCCTGAGTCGGTCCACCCCTGACGTTGCCGCTCATTTCTGCTGCTGGGCCAGCTCCAGTGGCTATGGCTGCTGAGCCGAAGCTTTCGGTCGGCCAGCCGTCGTCTTTTTGTCTTGCCCTGCCGTTTTGTGGCAGCTGCCTGGCCGCCTCCAGTGGTCGCTGGCAGGGCCAAGCCCCAGTTGCTCGGCCGACCTCCTTCGGCGGCGAGCAAGGGGGGGAAGGGAGATGGAGAAGGCCTTCTCATCACCAGCCTCGAACTTATCCCTATCCCTAAGATTGACACGCCAAAAGGCGATGACAATCTTAGGGACGCGCCCTGAAAAACTAAGGGAATCCCTAAGATTGGCATTGTGATGAGGCGATGCCCAGCTTAGGGATAGGGATATGTTCCAGGCTGGTAATCTCAGAAGGCTCGGAAGCTCCTTGGCCTTCCGAGGAGTCTCCTAAGTCTTCCCCGAAGGCACAGACAGCTTCTCAGGAGGCGCGAGGGCTTCTGAGAAGTCCCGCCGCCTTCCGAGAAGGCCTTCTCCTTCTCACTTCCCTCCCTCGCTCGCCGCCGACTCCTTTTTGCTGCATGCCGTGGCCGGCCTCAGGTATGAGCGCCGTGTTTAGATCCTAAGTCACGGAAGCTTCCGATGCATCGGCGACCAGCGCCCAGTATAGTGTTCGGTGGCGCGGGCCTGCTGACGCACAGTAGCGCCAGATAGCTTTTGCAATAGCGTTCCGTAGCGACCAAGAGCGCCCGATAGGGCCATGCGAGAGAGATGCATCGTGTCCGCTTTGCGCCCGAATGGGCGCGCTATGGGTACGACCAGCAGCTTCCATGAGTTGCTTTCTCACCGTGGGGCCCGGAGGGCTGCCACTCGCTCGTGTGCTCCCCTCCGTGGAGGAGTGCTTTTTCGGCCTGCAGAGGGTGCACGCTCGCTGGTGCTGGTGGCAGGCGGATGTTAGAGGAGAAGGACATGCCGATGCCGATGTTCCTCCCTCGTCGTCGCCCTCTCTTGTCACGAGGGGAAAATCGTCACAAGAACGCATATGCATGTTGCTTTCCATGAGAATATAGGTAAATATGGGCACTTGAGCATAATAGTGCAATCCAGGAACCACGACAACAAGAAACAAAGCCTGGCGAAGAACCCACCCATATGCAGGTGTGAGCACTGCGAGGCAAGTGAGGGGAACCCTTACGGGGTCCACGCACCGTGTAAGGGGCCTGCCTAAGTGGACATGCGGTGGGCGGGGAGCCGCATGCGAACCCTGACACCAGGGCCTTCGGTGGAACTCCCTGTTGGGCCACAAAACGTGTGAGGAGTGTGCCGACATGGGCGGCGGGACGCATGCGAACGGACCCACACGGCCCTTTGGTGGAGCTCCCTATAGGCTACGACGCATGTGATAGGTGTGCCGAAATGGGTGGCGGGGGCGCGTGCGAACGGCACCATTGGGGCCTTCGGTGGAGCTCCCCATGGGGGCCACGAGCCGTATGAGGGGTGTGCCGAAATGGGTGGCGGGGACGCATCCGAACGTCTTCATTGGGGCCTCGGGTGGAGCGTTCTATGCGGCCACGAAGCGTGTGAGGGGTGTCCCGAAATGGGTGGCGGGGACGCATGCGAACAGCACCGTGGGGGCCTTGGGTGGAAGTCCCAGTGGGGCCACGAAGCGTGTGAGGGGTGTGCCGAAATTTGTGGCGGCGGCGCATGCGAACGCCACCACTGGGGCCTTAGGTGGAGCTCCCCATAGGGCCACGAAACGTGTGAGGGGTGTGCCGAAATGGGTGGCGGGGACGCATGCGAACTGCACCACTGAGGCCTTCGGTGGAGTTCCCTCTGAGGCCAGAAGCAAGGATGAGAGATGATGATGATGATGATGATGATGATGATGATGATGATGATGATGATGATGATGATGATGATGATGATGATGATGATGATGATGATGATGATGATGATGATGATGATGATGATGATGATGATGATGATGATGATGATGATGATGATGATGATGATGATGATGATGATGATGATGATGATGATGATGATGATGATGATGATGA